CTGGTGACATCACAAATGAAAGGATGCATGAAACTTGTGCCAGCGTCGCTGGTGGCTGACAGCGTTATGCACATAACCATAAGATGTTTTTGACAATGATTACCGCGCTTGGGGAGAAAGCAGAAAAACGCCCTTGGAAACTGGATTAAGCCACTGAGTTGAAAACCTTCTCGCTACTCGGCTTCTCGAAAAATTAGACGGATACTGGATTGTGTTTAAGTGTTTTAGTTTTTTCTCTAGCTACTTCGATCCAGCAAAAGGCATGCAGCCACTTAGAGCTGAATGTCGCTCACCACTCTGTCACTCTAGACAAAAACGTTTCATCAAAGTAAAGGAAGAATGGAAGGAAGGAAAAGTTTGTGAGTGTTGAAATATCGGTCTTTCTTATGCCGTTTTGAAGGGGCAATTTTTGGCGCTTTTCGTTTCACGAAGTTAACTGTCGGACATTGATCTCCATTATTTCAGCCAGAAGTGCTTTATTTTAAAGAAAAAGTGCACAGCAGTTATATGACCATGCTGTTTTCCTTAAACAGCATGGCATTCAGAAGGAAGAAAGCACAGTGACCCCGATCAGAGCTCGAACCCGTAACCTTTAGGTTCACTGTCTGATACTGTATGGAATGAATCTGAAGAAACGAGTAGTAAATTATTTGCTCAATAGAATACGTGGTTAAAACAAGAACTGCTCCTCCGCCGAAATCGAACGAGGAACGTCCGTAGTTCGACGTCGATCGCTTAGGCACTGTCCCACCATGACATGACACGTGCAAGAATTTCGCATCTCAGTCAACGCTTGGGCGAAGACAACTGCCATGTCGCAAGTGTGACGTTTTGTACAGAAACTAAAATAGCTGCGGCAGCGTCATATATGAAGCTTTTTGACTGTTTTGAAACCAAGTCCTTTTTTCTTACGAAGAGGGAGAATGCAGCATATAAGGGATGATGCCGCCAAGTTTATTTAGCACCCAAAATTTGGCTTTACCGATCAAACGCAAGGTTTGTTTTCTTCTTCCTATATTTATGGAGAGAAAGCCTAATTATCTATTGCATTTTATTCTGTTGCTTTTAATCGAGTTTATTCTATATACTAGCTCTATTAAATTTGCTTCTGCGGCCAGTGCCATTGACGACGGGCAAACGCTCAATGATTAAAGTAAGAAATCAATAAAGCAACTGCGAAAAATCGTTATAAATTTCGACATGCTAGCTAATGAAGTAGTGAAACCAGGGTTGACAGATCACTCAATGACTTTGAACCAAATTCGTTTCAGACAATGTCGTGATACAATGAGTGTTACATTCCGTTCAGAGGCATAATGATAATTAATTTATTTGTTATTACGGCATACTGTTAAATTTTGAATGACTTTGCTGGAAGGAACGATGCATTTTCTGTACTGCGGATCTTCAGCCATCGAAGCCGATGACTCTTTTCTTTTCAGAAGGTAGACAGCGTGTTGAAAAGCTTTCCCATGCATCGTTTCCAGCCCAATATCACCAAGGAGATATTCCTGTAATGTCATCTTACTGTCATAGCTTAAAGGGGACAAAGTATTTGACCGTGTGTTCGTTGAGAATTAATTCCGATGCTAGTCTTCATTCGCTGCGTTGACACATGTGCATGAAAAGAAAAAACCCATATTCAGTTGTCGCCTTCGTCGATCGTTTAATGACTAAGGTCGTTATGATCAAAATAATCGACGTAGTTTTTCCTGCCATTGACCATTGCTCGTTTTCCACAATGTGAGGGGCATGAGGGTTGCATTTGTTGCGAGCAAGCAATGACGTAAACCTATCAGAGGAATGACTAAACGAATGCTCTTCTGACCGTAACGTTGGTGTCGTAAATGTTCCAAGTTTTGACGGTCTAAGCAGAATAGAGATCCTTGTTTTCTTTACATTCTTTTGCCATCATCCAGCTACCATCTTTCGGTTCCTCCACTTGTTTTGCTGATGAGTTCTAGTACTTTCCTTAGAGGATTAATGGCTTCACATTTGAACATCATTTTTTCTATCGTATGAACAGAGGACAATTTTCTTTGTAGTTTTGATTTTCAATTAAACTGAAAGTTTAGAACTAGTTGGAAAAGCTGTCTGTTTTTAAGTTGACCCTTGTTCCTACGGTCAACTATAGTCATTAACAATGGGCAGTATCGGTCAATACAGATCGCCACTACGAACTTCTGAAATGGACCTCTTGGGGAAAACCATAATGTTTACGTGCTTAGACATAGTTCATAGGGTAGCAATGCAGGAAGCTCTTGGATTCCCAAATCCTCTTGGAATCACAGATATAAGGTTCTCAACGAATGGGGAAATGATCATAAGGAAGGTACTAAACGATACGAACAGGAAGGAAAGTAAAATCTATCACAGTTGAACTTCCTTCACTTTCATGGTTGGACCGTTTTGGCGCCGTTCTTTCCATAAGATTGCCTGTACGGTGCTAATTGCCGTTTTTTTGCGATCATCTGCCTTATTTTAAAGGCAGAGTTTACATCAATTGGGGGGGGGGCATTCATAGCGTGTAGCTTTCTGCTTCCTTCGTGCAGAGTGGTACTCATTTAGCAGCGTCAGAAAGAAAAAGGACAATGACCAAAATCGGGGCTATTGGTTCTGAGTTCGACGACATACCAACTAAACAGCCTTGGTCTGAAGTAATGAGCGGTAAATTCTTTATTCGAGGGACTTCGTCAATCCGAGAAAGATTTTTTTCCAGCGGAATCGAACCCGGCACTTCCGGAAGTCAAGGCACACCTCTTAGACATTGCGTCAACATGCGACCGTACGATACCGAGCAACTGATCAATGGCTTGACTTAGGACTCACGATATTTCCAACGGACAGTTAGGTATTAACGCAGGATCTTTAACGTGGCGAAATTTCCAGATTGGAATAGTTCTGTTACATGCAATGTCATGCAGGGTAACCGAGAAAAGTTTCCTTGTGTTATTTTATGGTGCTTTCGATCATTCGGAGCCGGTAGATTTGATAAACTGGCTCTCTTCCCTTGACGGCCTGCAGCGAAGAGTCAGAACGACTCCTCGATGAGGTAATTGCTTGCAAGAATAGCTTCAAATCTGACAATCGATGATACGGTTTCAGCGATCGTTTAGTTGCACAGCAGCAAGCTAAGTGGCTTTGAGAGAGACGGACCCCCGCTGATTAGAACGTGACGCAATCAACAGGTTAGGATGAGATAAACAAATTGACTAATCGAGAGCGCATTGAGAACGCCAATTATCAACGGGCACCCCGTGAAGGTTGTTGTGCGTTGAATTCTTAAGCCAGTATTTCAACACTTCTACTTCGCACTGGCAAGAGCATGGACTGTCAACGTGTAGACCATTGGTGTGGACAAAGGTCAAATCCTGCAGGACTCTTTTTGCGTTTCGAGTCTTTGCCATTCATCTCGAAACTGCTTCTATGTTTCAATGTTCACGATATGCGATATTTTGTGCGAATGTACCTCGGACTTAAGCCCTGGGTAGAAACCTTTGCAGATGCTAATAAAATAGATGAAAAATACATCAGTTTGGAATCAGCCTTGAATTGAAGGAAAAGGTACGAGCGACAGTAGATCACGAGTTTTCCCTGAGGTACCTTTGGTCGATAGTAGATTGACTAGTGACCAGATAACGCTAACAACTTTGGTCGGAGTTAAATAGATCTAAAATTGGCGTAGAAACGATATTTTCACGACGTGATTCTCGCTTTTAATAACAGCACTCTTTGGCTGACTGCTTTCGAGTATAGGGCAAATGTTCTTGGAGATGTGAGTGTCTAACAGAGGGCTTTAGAACATACTTTGCACCAACGTACCTTTCCTACGTTGGCCGTTGCGCGAACTCCGCATTGTCCACGTTGGCTTGTAAGGATGAGGTGAGTTTTTACGTTAGTTATTCGCTCATATAATCTACCAACAGAATTTAGACGTGTCGTCGTATTAGCCGAAATTTTCATCTGTGAAAGAGACAGTCTTAAACACTTAGCCACTTGAACGACCTTCGCCTTCTGGCGTGACGTAGCGAGTCGTCCGTCGTCAACTGATTTGTGAACGACGGACAACGCGGTCTCTAATGCAAAACTCCACAACGCATCGCCGGCACGGCCGATGAGGTGCTGGCTGAGGATGTGTCGTTTCGGGTGCTTGTTCTTCAGGCCGAGATAAGAGTCGTTACGAGCGATAAAGTCATAAAGGCGTAGAAGAAGTTACGCAATTACGGCAAAGTTGCCGAGAGTGCGGCGAGAGGAGAGGTTGTAATAACACGCTGAGGTTTTTGCGTCGGTGGCTGGGGGGCAAAAAGTGGCCGCGAAATTCGAGACGTCGTTGAAAGATTCATGCGCTGTCGGCGCAAGAGGAAGATTTTCTCCGTACCAGACGGACGGATGACGAGATTAAACGTGTTGGCGCGAATCGCGCTCGTTTTGTGATGGCCATCAGTCGGTCGGCAAACAGTGACCAGCTTTGCTGTTGCAGGTTGGCCGAGCTGACCGCGACGGACACTGGCACCTCAGCACTGACCACCGGCTGCACCCGACCCGACGCATGGACAGCGACGGCAGCAGAAAGGCAATGCAAGGCGACTGTCGCGTCCGAGCCACAGCGTCCCCACCGCCGCCGCCGCCGAGTAGCAAGAACCCGATGCTGTTGGACGACATGCGAGAAAGTAAGGCGGAATCTGCATTAATTAATTACTGTCTGTGTGTCTTTGTGCGTCTGTCAGTCGACCGATCCGAGGGTACTGAGAGGCTTAGACGATAACGCGTCACGGCGGGTAGCAGCACCCGGCAGAAGTGAGTGACAGACACTCGGCTTTCAAGCCGCACTAGTGACGGATATTCGGCTTTCGATTGCTGCCGCCGAAACACGGCGTTGGACGGTCGCCATGGAAAGCTAGAAAACGAAACGAATATTAGGCTTCCGTCTCCGTAGGAGGCGACGAAACCAGCAGGCGGTGAAAATCTGGATCGGTCGGTCGGGTCATTCATTCTGTCGAAGCGCTCGCTGACAGAAGCTGTGGCCGAACGAACGTCCATCGACCGATTTTCAGGCGGTGATCGGCAGGCGATGTCCCGAATAGCCGTCCAACAGGCACATGAGGTCAGGCGCCATTCGCAGCAGCTGCAAGACAGTAAGTTCTACAGAGCAGTTCCTTGTTGGCGAAGTTTCTTTCGAAAATATCAACTACTTCGTACTCAAAAAAAACAGCTAGATGCGTTGTGTCAAAGTCTCTGCCGGACTTAGATCAGGATTTTGTTGCACCGACGTCCAGAAAAAAACATCTCTCGTCGATTATCACCGAGTTTATTCTTGAGCGGATAATCGATGCTTTTTCGGCAATTCCTCGGCGGCATCGAGATGTCTTCTAGATCACTGATCAAATCGCGTCGAGGCGACGATTGCCAGTGCACAAACCGATTGCTGAACTCAATTAAGCGCAATTGTCCTTAGTGAGGAACGAGGAACATTAGTTCTGCTTTCAAATCGTCTTCCCGGTTTGGTTTCGCAGTGATCGCGCAATTCCGAATCTCTTAGTGGATCAACAACCTTTTAATAAGTGACCTGAGTGATAAGCCGACCTACGCTCGAATCTGACCTTTCAGATCACAGAACAGATATTATCAGAGCCGATATTGCGGCTTATCGATTATCCACTCTGTTTACGTTGGTGTTGATGCCTCATGTCGGCTTGAGTCAAAAAGCGGTGATTGAAATTGGGCCAATATCCAAAATGATTTTTTCCATGACAACAGTAATAAATCAAGGGAAGCAGTTACATGGAGGACGTTTGCAAACAGATAAGATTATGGCATAAAGAAGCGTTGCTTTGCAACGCTGTTGCAGTGATTACAATATAATCATCGGGTACATCGTACAGCCATAAGAGGTCTTCTTCTGACAATGGAGGTGGTTGTTTAATCCTCAGAAAGAACGATCTTTGCCTTATCCGTAAATTCCTTTGTGCAAAGAGTTGAACTGCGAGCAATAGAGGCAGCATGGTATTTCGGCATGGTCATACGAGAGTGGACGAGTTTTAACTGCTGTGCAGTTCGATGCGAATGTCTCTGTTGGCTGCAATTCGCCATGGCCCATTTAATAGGTGACCATCAAATATGATAATCAGCTGAACGTGTTATCATGAATATCTTCTGGTCGAAGATAGCCCGATTGATGATGACGCAACTTACAGCTGAAAAAATAAGTTACAAAAGAGATCTTTATGTTCTAAAGCAGTAATTGTCATAATGTTCAGTTGTTCAGCTAGACAATGAATGTCTATAATAATCCTTTTTATTGACCAGATAAGCGATAAATGGATGCAGCGATGTTCTACTATTTATGCGCGTCAAATGGTGCCTATTAATTCTTGTCGATTCAGACGGCGTTTCCCAGTAATGTGTACTTGAAGCACTTCGGCTGTTTGGCTCTAGCAAAGTCAGAAGAACAGGGGCAGTTGAACAACTCTGAGTCTGTAATCGAAAAGTCTTTTGAGAAATGGTCGCTAGATTTATTCTTCGCTTCATCTGAGATCGTCCTCGTTGAGTTCTACGTCTAAATCTAAAGTGATAATCATACCATGAGGTTAAATTGACGTTACCTCGCTCTATTTCACTTCCTGGCACCAAGTTATCTTTAAGGCAGCTACTTCATGAGTCCACCGAGAAACAGAAACGATAATGACTCAAAGATCGACAGGATCAGCATGATCGTTGCTGACGTATGGGAAGCCGGCTTCAATAGTATCGAAAATAACTACGCTGCAGTTTCGACTGGTGAAATTATTCAATGCCTCTGCAAAAACGAATCAAGCAAATCAAGATTACGTGCTCTAATCGCCAGCAATTCCCTGATAAACTGAAATGGAACTACAACATTGAAGAATGATCGTTGAAGGATAAGGAAAGAGGGTTCTTTTAGATCGAAAATAATGCAATTTCTTTAACAAATACACAAAACAACATAATGATTAGCTTACAAAACAACTGACTGATCCTTCCTCATGATTAATGCGCATCACCACTGATTAGCCTCGATGCGAATGCTCTTCCGTTTCGTGAAATGGGTCGTCACAAGCTTCCGCACCTTTATTTTTGCTCACCGTCTTTTCTGAGTTGAAGTCTGCTAACTGGACACTTGCAGCCTCCGGTGCACCAGTCCATCGCTGATGAATTCCATCGATAAACCGTCAGTCGTGCGATGTGACCAGCCCACTGCCGTTTTCTTTCTTGTAA